TGTAGTGCATATGGAGAGTGTGTTTTCGTCCAAATTAGCTTGTTCCTGAGGGTCAGAAAAGCGTCCTTCACCTAGAATTTTATCTAGGGAGATGTCACTTCCCTTCGCCTTTTCTTGCTGTTCTAAAAGTCTAGCCTCTTGCCTGAACAAGCATTTCCATTTTAAGTGCGGCCCACTCTCAAGGACTGCAGAGCTCAGCTGGAGCCAGTCCAATGGCGTAGCTCTGCTTGTGGATGCCCAAGACTTTAGCATCTCTTTAACAAAAGAGGAATGCATCCCGAAAGTCATGACAGCCTGTTTAATTTCTTTGAGATCATTCATACGGACATGCTCCCATGTATCTTCCTTAATGACCCTAGGGTTTCTGGAACCAATCACCTTCTCTGTTGTTATTACTGGAAAGGCAGGTAGAGCTGTAGGTAGAGATTTGTGGAAATTGTCCCGGAGGGATTTACCCACAGATGTAGTTAAAATTTGCCTTTCTACCGTTTGTTCTTCTTCATCAGAATTTAGAAATTCCTCAATCTTTTCAATTCTATTCACCATTGCCTTCTGCAATGTCTGTATCTCCTGTCCAGAATTATGTTCCAAAGCCTTCATTGAGGATTCTAAAGTATGAAGTTTGTCCATTAGAGATAAGTTCTCATCTTTGGACATAATTTTTATGGCATAAACCGTGCCTTCTTGTATTGACAATCTTTCTGCCAATCTGTCATAAGCTTTAGACAAAATCCGATAGTCACATTCAGCAGTTTTGATTCTCTCAGTTACTATTTCAGTTCCTACAGAAAGGGACTGAAGCTTACAACCCAAATCAGCTGTTCCCTCTTCCATAGTAATGAGTTTCTCCTTAATATCAGCCACTAATGTTTCAGTTCCTACAGAAAGGGACTGGAGCTTACGATCCAAATCAGCTGTTCCCTCTTCCATAGTAATGAATTTCTCCTTAATATCAGTCTGTACCTTTTTTAAATTTTCCTCAGTTGATCGAGTCATGTTAAACAAAGATCTGTTCTCCTCCTGGAGAACTTCAAACTGATTCTTGAGAAGATTGTTGTCATTCTCAATTGTTTTTAAGCGTGCAACCTCTGCTCGTAAAGACTTTATCATATTTCTATTATCAAACCATATAGTGCCAAGGAAAACTACGAATCCCAGAAAGATCCATAGAGGTGGGGTGATAGACACCTCTTGTAAAATCTCCCACATGGTACAATTAAAAAAACTGTTAAATTCTTGAATGGTAACGTGTTCAGACATTTTAATTATAAAAGAAAATTTTTTCTCTTACCTGCAACGACTGGTTCCTGCCGGTGGTGGTCTCTGTGGTTTTGGAGCCTGTCTTGGAACTAGCTCTTGTAGACCAGGTTGGCCTCGAACTCACAGAGATCCGCTTGTCTCTGCCTCCCGAGTGCTGGGATTAAAGGCGTGTGCCACCACAGCCTGGCCGGCCTTGAACTCACAGAGATCCGCTTGCCTCTGCCTCCGGAGTGCTGGGATTAAAGGCGTCTGCCACCACAGCCTGGCCGGCCTTGAACTCACAGAGATCTGCCTGCCTCTCTGGATATTATGGGCCTGAAGGCAGAGTGTATCTCGGACTCAGCCCTGGGGCCCGAGTCATAAACTAAGAAAATGACACCCGGGAGCGTGCTGTGTTAGCTAGCAGGCTACGCGCTTGAGTTGGGGGCAAAATAGCCCGACGTTGGACGCCAAAATGTAACGGCGTAAGCGAATACAGACAGATTGTCAAAATATAGACAGCTTTAATGGAGGAATAGACTTACAGAACCACTGTTCCCGCGGAGACCAGGAAAGCAGAAGCGAGCGCTGGGAGCACGCTCACCAATTTTATAGGAGAACTTTAGCCTGAGGCGAACACGCCCCCTAAGGGGTGGGACTTATCCCTACACTCCCCAATCAGGAACAATCTTTCTCTGAAGAGCTGCTGATGTCTCATCTGTATTTTGGGGATCAGCATCCTCACCCGTCTCACTGCATGGATAAGGTGCCCTGTGCTGACTGCGGTTTCTGGAGATGCCCTCTTCCATCTTTTGTGATATCGCCATGACAGCAGGACAGGGAAGGACCTGCCACGGAGAAACACCAAAGGTTTCTTACATCCTTAAGGGTGACTTTAGCAGGGTCTGGGTCTTCTGCTTTGTCAATAGAGTGGGAAACCAATATCAATTCAAATACAGCTTTATAATGGTGTTCAAGTACATCTCCTGCAGTCTTCCACACCCAGGGGTACCATAATCCAAGGAAGCCCACGTCCTGCATTAAGAAATGGAGCTGTGTTTGCCTGTATCTATGAGCATCCTCCGTTATCTTCAAGTCATAATGTGAGTGCCCATTACAATGAAAGTGCTGCACAAGCCGTTCATGTAAGAAAACATAAATAGTACATGTTTAGTAGAGACTCCATCTCCCCCCCCCACCCCCGCCTCCCGCCTTTTTCATTCTGTTTAGCCAAGGCCGTTTTTTAATCCCCAATCATGCTTCAGCCTCTCAAGACCATGGTTCCCAGCTGGAAATAAGATTTTTTTTTTATAAGGAGAAAGCCATGGAAAATTAATTTTCCCGTAAGATATTTATTAGCTTGCACTCTTTCTAAAAGAACTCTTTTAGAAACCTGGTGTTTTGAAGGCTACATTTTAACTCTCAGATACAAGGGGAATAAGTGGAATTTATTAGAAATTTCATTTAGGTCAAGTGATGGTGACAGTGCACGCCTTTAATCCCAGCACGTGGAAGGCAGAGGCAGGAGGATCTCCGTGAATTAGAGGCCAGCCTATTCTACAGAATGAGTTCCAGGACAATCAAAACTACGCAGAGAAACCTTGTCTCAAACAACAACAGCAGCAACAATAACAACAAGAGAGATTTAATTTAGTCTAATAAGACTCTTTGTGAGATGTTTTATTTAACTTAGGATAGCACTCTGGTGTTCATTTGCTCTCAGAGTCTCTTAACAGCCCCGGACATCTTTAATCACAATCACCCGCCCCGTTTGCTGAGGTAGAGGTCCTAGTTCCCTGTGCCCTGAAACCCATGGGTGGGCTGATGAATCTGCTGAAGGCAATGAGTGAAAACCCGAAAGGGACCTTTAGCTCTGCTGGTCACTGTGAGTAAACTGAGGCACAGCAGGTGGGGAGAACAGAGCTGTTAAGAATCCTTTTCTCGACCCACTTGGCCCTGAGACCCGTGGTGCCTGGCTATTTTTGTTTGCAAATCCTCAAGTGTTCCCCGAAGTCATCTTTGCCAGCATTTCCTTGCTCGTTCTTGCTTGATCTTGTACTAAAAGGAAGCGAGCCTCGACCCAGAAGTGGTTCCATGGAGCAGTTTGGTGCAGATTTGCAGGCAGACAGCGTCTGCTTGCTGGGATGGGGTAGAGGACTGGCTCTTGTCTCGTCCTTAGCAGTTCCCATGCTTTGGGACTGCACCAAATACTTTCTTCCCTGCCTTATACCTGTTGTGTGGCTAAGATGGTTCTCTGGGGACGGAGATGATTTCTTGAGATGTGTGCAGTTTAAATGTGTCCACATGTATTCCCAGTGGTGAGAGAAAAATAAAGAATGTCTTGTTAATAGAGAATAGACGGCTGGAGAGATGGCTCAAGGGGTAAGAGCACTGACTGTTCTTCCAGAGGACTTGGGTTCAATTCCCAGCACCCACATGGCAGTTAACAACTGTCTGTAACTCCAGTTCCAGGGAACCCAACATCCATGGAAAAATACCAATAAACATTAAAAAAAAAATTAGAGAATTGAAGTCACGTATTATAGTGACCAAAACCGAGGCTGGCTTTGGAAGACTTCTGTCCTCCAGTTGTTACTCCTGTGTTCATGTTTCTCTAAGAACCTGGGTTTTTATCTGCTGCTCTTGTGTTTTGTTTTGCTGGGATTAATCTTTGGGCCTTGTGCGTGTTGACCAAGTGCTTGGCACTGAGCTCCTCCCAGAGCTCCAAGCTTCTTCATCTCCAGGATGGAGATACAGGCAGCTACTGTCCTGCAGGCCTCCTGAGAAGTTAGATGTGATTATGCCAGTAAGGAGTCTTCATGCCATCTTGTGGGCCGTGGACCACCAAGAAAATAAGGATTTCAAGGCAGTATCTTACCTGATCTATACTCTGCCAGTTTTTTAAAATGCACTTTTGTTACTGTAAATTAAAGAGAAACGTTGAAGGGGATCAAATTTTAAATTCCTAACTTTTATTAGTAGCCTATGTGAATAAAGTCCTCCATAGCTAGGCTGTTAACTCTCCCATATGGTAACAAAATATACCCAAGATGATCAATCCTAAAAGAAAGAGGGTTTATATTGAGTCCATTTTCCGGTTTCAGAGCATAGTTGATTGGGCCTGTTTATTTGGGGCCTGTTGCACAGCCTCAGATGATAGAGGAAGCCTGTTTACTGTCTGAAACAGTGGGAAGGTCCAGGATTCTACCACCTAGTGGCCTAACTGCCTTCCACTAGGCCTAAATCTCCTAAAGATTCTACCAGCTCCCCTTAGTGCCACAGCTTGAAGGACAGACTTCCAACCTGGGGTCTTTTGTGTGTGGGGAGGGGGAGGTCATTCAAGATCTAAACTGTGGCATTAGGCATTAGTGGCTAAAGTAGTAGAGGCTGTCACATTGGAACCCAACCTGGTCATAGTGGTTCCAAAGCAGACAGTGATCTCTTTCACAGAACTGAGAGCTGATGTCCCAAAGCCACCCATCCCAGCATCAGCATCGTCACAAGGTGGGGAAATGCTACTATCGAGAGCGAGGAGACTCGCTGAGTTTCGGTCCCACCTCTTCTGTTTCCTTTTGAGAAAGGATCCTTGAGATCCTTGCGTGAGAAAGCCTGTACTCAGACACTGCGGGGGCAGATTAACTGAGAAAACGTGCACAGAAGACGAGCAAGTGTTGTCTTGACCAATATTTATGTTTTAGAGTTGGTTTATTATTTTGAGAGGTCCCTGCTCCATTTTTTTTTTCTGTTGTTTTGTCATCACATAGAACATATTGCCTTCACGCGGCAGCCTGTTATCTGTCCCATCTTAATGGGTTGAGTGGGCTCCTGGGTGTGTCCCTACTTTGTTGGGTCTATAATCACCTGGAGACTTAGCTGGACTGCAGCGTCCCAGAAGGTTCTTCCGATGACCGGGTATTTATTTAGCTGTCTGCTTGCCTCAGATACCCCTCCTGTATGTGCCGAATGGCCTTTCCGTGCAGCCCGATGGGCCTTCTCGTCTGCCTTTGGAGAGAGCATCCTCTGAGAGAGTGTGCCAAGGAGAAGGAAGTAGAACCTGTCAGTTATCTCAAGCCGATCTCAACTTTTAAAGAACATCCTTTCTGCTATGTTCTCTTTGACCAGAGGGGTCACATTGCCAAGCTGGAGTCAAAGGAAGGGGACTGCCTCAATGGGATAGAGAGAGTGTATGCTTAGAGGGGCCAGGAAGTGATGGTGGCTGTCTTTAGAAACATTTGCCGCAGTCCGAAATTCTTATATGTGTCACCCAGATATGCACAAATGCAGCTGACCAATCAGGCAGGCCAGTAGCTTTCATCCTGTGTTTCGTCCCTGTCATAGCCATGTCTTGGAGAGCAACCGAGGCTATGGTTTTGAGAGTGGGCATTATATTTCTAGGAAGTGGCCATCAAAAAATAGAACAGCTACAGAATCTGGAACACTGTCTTCCTCTATACATTTCCAGAGTCTGTAGATAGGCCTGGTAGAAAAGTGCCTGTCTGTCCTGGATTTGTTTCTGTGGTAATGAAATAACCTTGGCAGAAGGAAGCCTGGGGGAGAAAGGAGTTTATTTTCGCTGGCAATCCCAGGTTCCTGGAGTCTTGAGTCCAGACAAGAACAACAGCCAGCTAGTCACATCACACCTACTATCAAGGGCAGGGAGACATGAATGCCTCCTTGCTTGCGGTGCTTGGTTCAATCTCTCTTTTTAAAACAACAACAAATACAGACAGGGACTCACTAGGCGACCACGCTGGCCTGGGACGTACTATAGTAAATCAGGTGACCCTTGATCTCACAGAGAACTACCTGTCTCTGTCTCCCAGGCGCCTGGCAATTTCTTTGTATTCAGTTCGGCACCCCTTGCTTCCATGATGGGCTGGGTCTTCTTCCCACATCAGTCAATGTAATTAAAGCAATCTCTCACAGACGGTCCACAGATCAGCCCGGCGTAGATGCTCTCTCTTTGAAATTCTTCCCGGATGATTCTAGGTTGTGTCAAGTAGACGACAATTAAACTAACCATCATGCTCCCACAATACCAAACCTGTGACTTTTTCAAGTAAGAGTATCCGCTTGTACGCTGGCCCTACTCCCTGTGTGTTTGAGCGTGTCGGGGTGGCATGGTTGAACGGTGGGATGCAGAAATTCACACTGGCTCGTCTGTGGGATGAAGGCAGTGAGCAAACGTGCAGAGACCCCTTTTATACATGCCGCTAAGCCAGTGGTTCTCAACCTGTGGGTCGAGACCCCTTTGGGGGTCAAATGACCCTTTCACAAGATCTTTTCACAGGGCTCATATATCAGATATATGATATTTACGTTATGATTCCTAACACTAGCAAAATAATGGTTATGAAGTGCAAAAATAATTTTATGGTTGGGGGGTCCCCACCCCATAAGGAACTGTATTAAAGGGTCGCAGCAGAAGGCAGGTTGAGAACCAAGGCTTCTCAGCTAACTACTTATGCAGAAAAGTGGGGGATATTGCCTTTTATAAAAGCATCTTGGATATATACTCCCCCCCCACACACACCCCGGAGGGGGCTGGGCTGATTGTCACCTTTATCCTCATCCTATGAAAACGGCAAGACTGGAAGGTGGCAGTGGCATTTTTCAGAGACCTTCCGGTAGCAGCGGTGGTGGAAACCTCAGGATCTGGGAGAGAGGAGAGAGGAGAGGCCTTCCCTGAGGGTCAAGTGCAGACTGTGTTTCCCAGACTGCTTTAATCTGCAGAACGCCTGCATCCCCAGAGGGGTTTGCAGCCAGCGTCAGGCTCCAGATAAAGTCCAGGAGGTTCTTTTCCTCAGGACTTTCCCTGCTTCTTCCCACATGGCTTTGGAAGCAGAGCCAGTTTATTTATCTTCTAGTGTTTTTCCTAATCTAAATTCTCCTCCAGCCTTATCCTCACACACTCGCTGTCTTATTGGCAGGCTGGAGCAGTTAGGAATGAGAGCCAACCCCTCCAGCCCTTCCTTACTCTTTGGCTGGGACACACCTGAGAGTCATGTGCAAACACTGGACAGCTCTTGGCGGCACGTCCTATCGAGCGCACTGTTTACATTTGGAAAATGCCTTGGTTCTTCTATTAGTGAACAGAATGTCTCCAGCTTGAACCGCACAAAGTCGGATTAGGTTTTTCTGTTTGCTTCCTCCCACCTCCACCCCCACTCCCTTTCCTGCTCTTCCTTCAGCGTCTTGTGCTGGCTGGCAGTATAGATTTTCCTTTCTTGTTTTTGTCACTTGTTCCAAACGTGGCAAGAAGATCCTCAACTCAGATGAGAAACAAAAGATTATCTGCCTGGCTTTCTTTGAGGTTATTGATTTTGCATTTGTATAAGGGCGGGAGAATTAATTTGTAAAATATTTTGCTTCCTTTTCCGAATGTGACCAAACACTGTCTAGAAATTTTTTAATCAGGGATAGATTTGCTGGCTGGGTAGACGATGCTTTTGACCGGTGCCTCGAGTCTTGGGTTTTTCCTGCTTCTGGAGACCTCTGGGTAGTTACCTTTCTTACCTTTCTCCCCCAATGCTTCTCTTCTGAGCTGAGCTGCGCTGAGGGGACCCTATAAGCCGCATCCTGCTCTCGGCTCCTCTCATTGGCTCCTGACCAGTGGAAAGGACTACTTGTTTGTTGAAATATGAGCGGCGGGGCTGTGTCCCCAACACCCCGGCCGCTTGGCTAGCTTATGCCCGAAATAACAACACACAAACTGTATTCATTTAAGAACTGCTTGGCCCATGAACCCTAGCCCTTACAGGCTAATTCTCGCACCTGGACTAGCCCATTTCTAATGATGTGTGTAAGCACCCCAAGGTGTGCTTATCGGGAAGATTCTAGCCTCCGTCCATCATGGTGTCTCTGCTCCAGAGCGCAGAGCTGTCCGGTCTCTCTGGGAGCAGAGCAGAGTCTGACCTCACTTTCTCTTCCTCCTGTTTATTCCTCCCACCTATCTTTTAACCTATCAGGGCCAAGGAGTTCCTTTATTGCTTAACCAATGAAATCAGCAGATTGATATATGACACTCCCACATCACTTGTTAGCCCACCAAACAGGGCCCTCGGGGTCACTGTAGCCCCCGGGACCAGATCCAACCTCATCCCTCCCTGCTGGCTTACCCCTGAGCAGACAGACGGTTTGCAGGAGTCTCTCCATGCCTGCTCCAACCACACTCTGAGCACATTCTTTCTATGCTTAGACCCCCCTTAAGGGTCTGTAGTTTTCCTGGGCTGGTAGTTTCTGGAACCAGCAGTTTAGGAAACAGGAGGATTCTTCTAGATGCTTTGGGTCTTCCTTTCCTAGACTTTGCCTCTTGCAGTTTCTGGATGGAGTTGCCTCCTGCTGGTCAGAATTCTGAGAGCCTTCTCCTAAAGTAACCTGGAGGGGGGGGTCCTTTTCTGTCTGCCATAGTAGCTTAGCTTAAGTCCACTTTCTCATAATGCTGACCTCTTGATGAGGCGTGTGCTGTTGGGTTAGGATCATTTGGTTCCTGGTGTCCCCCGTGTTCCCATGTGATTCCCATGTGATTCTCTGAAGCATTAGTCATGGGCAGTGGGCTTCCCTCGGAAACATCCGTAGGCTGTGTGGTGTATAACCAGCTAAGATTTTCTCACGGTCTACAGACTGGGAAGTCCAACATCAAGGCACTGGTAGATTTGGTGTCTGATGAGGGCCACTTCCTCACAGACAGCGTCTTCTAATTATAGCCACAGGTGGGGAAGGAGACACGGTATCTCTCTGGGGTGTCTTTTATAAGGGCGCTAATTCTGTTTATGAGGGCTTGTGTAATATACTGAGTAAACATTAACAAATAATACTACTAATTACATTCCTTAAGCAGATGTGATTTTCTATCCACAATGTATCATGTAAGAACTCAGGAAATCAGCCAGTTGATACCAGTGCATGCCTTTAATCCCAGCACTCAAGAGGCAGAGGCAGGAGGATCTTTGTGAGTTCAAGGCCCACCTGGTCTACAGAGGTCCAGGACAGTCAGGGCCACAGAAAGAAACCCTGTCTTGAAAAACAAAAGACAAAGAAAGAAAGAAATCGGGAAATCTTTTGTCGTTTGTTCTATTTTTGCTGTGGCCTAAAAGGGGAAGTTGATCAATACAGGAAGTGACAGTGTCTTGCAGTTTAATGCAGAATTACAGATTGTAACTGCTTTGAAGCCTTTCATTGTTTCCAGAAGAAAGGAAAATCCAGACTCATGACGATGAACTGCCACGGCCGGCATGCTGGTTTGTGCTGAGTAGCTGCAGTAGTGGATGCTTAGACCAGTGAGGTGCATGTGGCACACACTAAGGAGGTAAATAGAAAGACTCTTGCACAAGATGACAGAGGGCATACGGACTCGCTGAATACACTCTGTGCATCCTATTTGCTGCCTTTTGTGTCTGCAAGAACAGAGCTCAAAAGTCAAGCCATGGCCGTACTCCTTACAAAACAAATTTTCCGTATTTACTTGGCAGTTTCAGATGTCCTACTTCAAATTAGGAAAAGACCTCCCTCCCTCCATCTTGTCTGTCTGTCTATCTATCTATCTATCTATCTATCTATCTATCTACCTACCTATCTATCATCTATCTATCTAACTATCTATCTATCTATCTATCTATCTATCTATCATCTATCTATGTGTATGTTTCTTTTTTGAGACAGGGTTTCTCTGTGTATCACCTAAACCCATTTTATGCAGTGGTGGGGATTGAGAACCCATGGCCTCTTCTTTGCTAGGCGAGTGCTCTACCAATTGAGCCGCAGTCCCAGCCTAAGTTAAAAACACACACATGATTTTAGCATCTTTTCACTTCTCTCTTAAAGGTTCTGTGGGATTTTCCTTTGAGGATTGTAGACAAAATTCTACATGTTCTTAAGAAATAGGGGACAATTTGTGTATAGGCTTTGTTTTTAAATTGACTTTATGTGTGGTTTCAACATAAAGATTATTTCATGAAACCCCTTTTGGGATTTTCCCAAGATTGCGTTTTTCTTTGTTATAGCCTGGTTTCTGTCACCGACCTCTGCTTGTTACCCACAGTGGAAATGCAGGTAGCGTCTTACCTTTGCCCTTTATTGTTTAGAGGCGTGCCTGGTGCACACTATTTATTCAGTAAATGCTTATCAAATGAACGAGGAAGCGAAGTTACACAGAGTAACAATTTGCTTTCACAAATCTGTGTGCAGTAAGTGGAAACACAGAAACAGAACTCTCACTGCGAACATATTGTGACCGAAAGCTCAAAACAGCCTTTGGCAGGGTGGACAGGGTCTTACTATGCTGCCCTAGCTGACCTGGAAAGATAGAGACCCGGCTAGTCTGGAATTCACAGAGACCTACCTGTTTTTGCCTCACTAAGATGTGTGCCACCATGCCCTGCTCAGACCACTCCTTTATTTCCTTCCTTCCTTCCTTCCTTCCTTCCTTCCTTCCTTCCTTCCTTCCTTCCTTCCCTCCCTCCCTCCTTTTTTTTTTTTTTTTGACAGGGTCTTGCTATACAGTTCTGTTCTAGGACTCACTATGTAGCCCAGATTTAGCTCGATTTCACAGACATCCACTGCCTCCTGAGTGCTGGGATAAAACACATGTATCACTATGCCTGGTACATTTTTATTTCTTAAGATAGAATGCACTTAAACTTAATAATTGGTTATTTAAATAAAGCCCTTGCACTTTTGATTTTCAGTTGCTTGCTGATAGTCTCTTATTTTATTGAGTTCTCTGCTACATAGACAAGGGAGACGGGGGAGGTGAGTTGCTTCTAAGGCCTAAGTATCTCGATTCGTTGCCCAAAGTGTAGCATTATTTGATGGGACGATTGCAGACATTGAGTAGGTGGGTGAATCCTATAGCCTTTTTAGATTCCCAGGAGCTGGAGTTAGAAGCGGTTGCGAGAGACTTATAATGGGTGCTAGGAATTAAGCTCTGGTCCTCTGGAAGAGCGAGTGTTCTTAACTGCTGAGCTAGCTCTGTAGCCCCCAAATAGCTTTGATTATGGGCTGGAACTGTCCCTCGATCAGCAGAGTACTTGCCTGCCTTGGGTTTGACCCCCCCCCCTTCTGCATAAGCCAGGCATGGGGGTGCAGCTATTGACAACGTGAGGACCAGTGAGGTGGAAGCATAGGGATATCTTTACTTACATGGCAAGTTTGGGGCTAGCCTGAGCTACATGAGACCACTTCCACTGTCCTCCTCCTCATTGTTATTGCGTTGTCGTTGTTACTAATGCAGAGTCCTAGAAGAATGTCTCAGAGAGCTATTGAGACATCATAAATTCTAAGATAGTTTTTATTTTGATGAAATTTTTTATCACGTGTAAAGTTGTGAGACATTAAAATTCGTAGCATAAGAAATCATAAAGAAAAAAATTAGCTAGAATAATAGAAGTGCCTTAAAAACTGCAAGAGTTTGTTATATAATAACTTTTTGAGGTACTCTAAAATAATAAGTAAGAAAAATGCTGGGGCAAAGAAAAAAATGAAGATTATTTAAATTTTATTATGGTATAATGACACTAAATTGCAGTATATTTGAGTGAAAGGGAAATGAAAATGCTATTTGTTGCTAAATTGCTGAAGAACCCAATGTACTGAAGATGATTTTGCAGCAATCTTACATTGGCTGCTGGTATTAAAATAGAAAGACTATTTCTTTGATTCTAATACTTTTATGTAACATCCCTGCCACCACTGTATCACTTCAGATGCTTCAATTGGTTCCCCATTTTATTGTCTAAAATGTATTCGTGTACATATCGCAACATATGGAAACAGTTCTCTAAGGTATATAGAGAGCTCTCTTGTTCGTGTCCAGTGTCTCAAGTAGGTGAACCCAGCAGCAACATTGAATCTGGAGAATGATTGGTATAAGCATGCCTCTTACACCTGTGTGTGTGGACTGATCTGCCTAGTCAGAGGATGCTCCTATAAACTCTAAGCCACTAAAAGTGGTTCCAGGCAAAAGGATAGCGCTATCATCTTTACTTTTTTACAGACACCAACGTGACCATTATACAGCAAATGGACTAGACAGAGGTCAGTTAGGAAGCCAGATGGGCTAGATAGATGAGGACAAACATATAGCCTGAGCAGGAAGTAACACTGATGGCTTTTCCATTAGTGACCGGAGGAGGAGGGACCCTCAGAGGCATAGCAGCTAAGTGAATGGTGTAATGGTTTTCTCTGCACGTGAAGACAATTCGGTGTTGTCTGTGAACCTTGGGACTACGTCTCACTCTGTTCCCTCCTTCATAGCCATTGCTGCCACTTATCAACTGTCCTTTGTCCCTCTTTCTCATACCGTTGAAGAACCTTCCTGGATTTCCTCCCCTTCAGCAGGGCACCTGAGTGTTCTGGAAGCATTCCCTTGGACACGAGATAGCCTAGACCCTGCTTTTCTCAAACGGACTTTCCTAATATGCCTCCTTAACCAACTCAAGCTTCCTACTTCCTGGGAATGCCCTGTCTGCCTCGGAAGGTTCGCCCTCCCTCCAGGGCCCAGGTCTCTGAATGTCAAGGCCAGGTCAACACTTCCCATGTGAAAGGTCATCCATCTTCTCTCACACCTTGTCTGCCTGTCTTGTGGCATTTGGGACCTTCAGACAGATCCCATTATTTCCAAAGTGCTCTGTGGTCTGCTTCATCTTTATATTTCACTCAGATGTAGCACAAATGCCTGAACAAGACCGAATAGAATATCTCCGGTAAAGTGAATTAGTACACCGCAAACCTTTTGGCCTGAGTCAAGAGAATCTTTAGGTAATCGATGTACTATATCCCATTGTTTAAGCCTGTGCTTTTAGACAGGATTGTAATAAATGTACCCAAGTGCTTCCTAGTCCTTCTAAATTCAGGGAAAATCTGTCTATGGTTACCCTGATGCCACAGATTATCTCCTTGTCATTTATAGCCTGGTAAGGCCAAGAAAGTTCTATGCCTTCCTCTTCGCATTCCTTGTTTCTGAACGTTACC